AAAAAAAAAAAAAAAAGATATAAATGATTGATTGAAATGAAATAATATTATTTGTTTGATAGGGGGTGCTTGTGGGTACGGCAACTTGTACTCGGATGGGTATGGGACTAACAACGCGGCCCTAAGCACGGCATTGTTCAACAACGGGGCAGCTTGCGGGGAGTGTTACGAGATCAAGTGTGACTATGACTCCGACCCAAATTGGTGCCTTGAGGGCAAATCTGTCATTGTCACGGCCACAAATTTCTGTCCCCCAAACAACGATCTCCCAAGTGACGACGGGGGTTGGTGCAACCCTCCTCGACAGCATTTTGACATGTCTCAGCCCGCTTGGGAAAATATCGCCATCTATCAAGCCGGCATTGTGCCCGTCCTATACCAAAGGTCCCTTTTTTTATTATAATTTTCTCCATTCATCATATCCTACCTCATTTAAATTTGAAATAAATTGTATTTTTAGTCCTGTTTGTTTCACTACCATAACTTTTTCGTCCATTTCGAATTGCATTTTTTATTTTCGTCCCGTATGTATGCAAAAAGGTTACAAAAAGGTCATTTCGCAGCAAAAATGTCCTTTATATTTTGCAGAAAAAGGTTCCAATTTCGTCCCTTATGTATGAAAATGACTTTTTTGTACCTTTTTTTTACAAACATACGGGATGAAAGTCAAAAATGCAATTCGAAAAGGACAAAAAAGTTAGGGCAGTGAAACATACAAGAGTAAAATTGCAATTTAATCTTTAAATTTTATAAAGAAAAATGATGTAAACTATAACTAAACGTTGTTATTTGATGTGTGCTTTTGTGATGAAAAATATAGGGTTCCTTGTAACCAAAAGGGTGGGGTTAGATTCAACATCAACGGCCATGATTATTTCGAGCTCGTCTTAATTACCAATGTGGGGAATGCCGGGTCCATCCAATCGGTTCAGATCAAGGGCTCCAACACGGATTGGACGCCTATGTCCAGAAATTGGGGTGCTAATTGGCAGTCTAATTTATATGTCACTGGTCAGTCGCTGTCCTTTAAGGTCACGACCACTGATGGCAATACCAAAATTTTCATGGATGTTGTCCCGTCCAATTGGGCCTTTGGGCAGACGTTCGAGAGCCAGATCCAGTTTTAGGTTGGATGTGGGCCTTTATTATACTCGTCTTTATTGGGCTTCACCTAAGTGACAGTTTTTTTTAGTTCAGCGGTGTCTAGTATTTAGTCTTCTATATGAGTTGATGTCTTTTTTTTGGAGTTTTATTTTGCGGTAGTAGATCTCTTTGATAGAGTTTGTACCCTCTTGGGTACGTAGTAGATCTCCTTGATAGAGTTTGTACCCTCTTGGTTGCCTGTGTAATTCCAAGGAAGGTGGTCTAGATTTTGTTCTGGTAACAGTGGTATAATTGACACATCGATTATACTCTTTTGAGTTTTCTAATATTAATATATTTTCCGTTTAAAAAGAAAATAAAAAGAAAAAAAAAGGTATTTTCCTAATCAAATTTTCATTTAAAAAGATGAATAATAAGGAAAAATAAACAAAATAATAATATCCATATTTATCTATCATCTCCCTAGCTCTATATTTTTTAGAGTTTCTTTTTGAGAAGTTATTTTTTTGTGATAATTAACAATTTTTTCACTCTCACAGATTCACACAACATCATTCTTACATGTTTTTTTTTTTCTCTGTAAAAGATCACTCTCCCTTTTTTTTTATTAGTGCAAATTCCGTGATCTTACAAACAAAAGGAGGTGTTATATGAATATAGTTTAACATAATTGAAGTTACACAATCATTTTGTCCAGATATATAAAACTATACAAAATTAAGATTGATCTTATACCTCCTAATTGATGCATAATCATTCTCACACGTCGACGTGCAATTTGAGCATTACATGCTAGGAAATCTATGGGCAACTTACAAGGATGTTACGACATAACAACGGTAGCCGCCCAAAAGAGCCTTCTCGGCTGACAGAAACAAGTGTCGAGATCAAAACCCGCATTTTTGTTTTAAAACAACACCTCAGGAGGGTGGGGGTTAAGGCCGAACCCTCAACCTGTATATAAAATTGTCCTAAATGGGCTGAAAAGTCACAAAGTTATAAGTCCAATGTCTGATATACATCAAGTCAAATGAAAGCCAAAAAACAAAACAAGAAAAGATATAAGGAAAAGCTGACAACTGCAGCGAAAAAATACAAAAATAACAGATCCTGGTCCGGGGAGAGTCCCGGCGAAAAAGTCAACATCACAGTGTGGCAAATGCGCCAAAAAGGATCGACTATACAAATCTGAATGAATGGTATCCCATCTGTTCCATCCGTATGAGGGTGCGGAGGCGGATAGAAATATCGTCAGGGTAAAGAATGCATCTCTGGGGTGTGGAGGACTGATGCTAGCGAGGAAGTCAGCTGGCCGGTTCCCCTCGCGAAAGATGTGCGAGATCCGGGAGCGAATCGACTGAAGAGTGGCTCTGATACGCATGACAGGGTGCTGGATCTGCCACGTGCCCTGATGGCCAGATGACAAAAGAGTGATGACAGATCGATGAGGCAATCTGGAGACCGATCTGAAGCGCCTGAATCTCCGCGTTATAGCTCGAGGAGGCCCGAAGAGGGGCTATGATCCCTAATCAAGCCCCCACCTCCTCCAACTCCAGTAAGTCGATCAAATGCTCCATCAGTGTTTATCTTGACCCAAGGCGACTCGGGTTTCAGCCAAACAACAGCTCTGGGGCGTGGGTGCTGGACAAGCACCAGCGAAGGTGGTGCAAGGCGGTGAGGTGGCGTGCAGCCTGTCCAGTCTCTCTGGGTGAATCTGCCCAAAGCGGTGAGGAGGGAGAGATGTCGGTCAACCTGCAAAATAATGTAGGAAAACAAAAAAGAGTATCCCTATACTTCGCATTATTCCTTTCTGTCCAGGTGCACTACAAGAATAATCATTATTAGTGATACTAATTTTAGTTACGACATTAATGGCATGACTATAAAATGATTATTGTGACGACATTCAAACATATAGGGACATTCTTAGCAACAGTATTTTTTATGACGACATTTGAACATATAGCGACAAAAATTTTTGCCACTAAAAATGATTATTCTTGTAGTGGTGGCCCAAAGGATCAGACAATGAATAAGGAAGCTCACGTGTCTAATGTGTGTGCGGTGTCTGAAAAAACTCAGAAGCTCAAAGAAAATATCTGTGAAGGGTAAGGGGGTATGAGTTTAACTGGTGTAATGCTCCCACACTCTCTTCACAGTCTCGCTCTCTAAAAACAGGTGGGTAAAGGTGTCGGTCTGAAAATCGTCGGTCTCAGCACAACAGTAGCAACGCGCATGACTCTAAAGATTTTTCCAGTAAACTGTTTATATCAAGGACGTCGATCTCAAATTCTTAGTATATAAAATACGTTTCGTAAAAACTCAATTCCTCATTTCCAATCTATCACCTCAAAAAACTGATATACATGTTTAATTATTTTACATCAGAACCTTACATCGGCATGAACGGATCACTTCGAAGTTTATATAGTCCAAATCCTCTAGTCGACATAATAAGTCACACTTATTAAAACGAAAAAACATTTTACATAGTCTCTCTCTAAATAAATCCTACAAGCATGAGATAAATTTAGAAGTCAAAAGAGACGTCATCGAACCATATGTATGGCTATTTTTGGGAAGATTCGTATCTCTTTCACGTTAGAAAGGACAAGATTATCTGGCTCTGTATACCGATAATGAAAATCACACCATACTTGCCACTCGATGAATGGTCGAGGGTATTTCGAGGGAATGAAAATGATATCCAACATTCAAGATCTTACAAAGCATATTTTATAGGCTTAACTCTATCCAATATAGCAAGACAAATAAGATGAGATTAAAACTAAGTATTCAAAACTTTCAAGTAAGTAAAATTCTGAGGATAACATTTTTATGAGGGGAGGATGTGATACCTCATCTCTACACTACTTATTGTGCAGTATAGTTCATGCATTTTATTTTATTTTATTTAAGTGTGTTATTAGATTGAGTTGGAGATAAATATAGTCTACAGTTGGGTTGTACGAGAGAGAAATATTATATAATCTATATATATATATAAATAGGAGCAACAAAGCATTTAATTTTATTACCATGCATTAAATTTTATTCTCCCTCCAAAATTTTCAGCATTCAATTTTATTTTTAAGTTACAAAATAACTTGCTTGAATGCCATAATTTATGAGTATAAACCAGTCAAGGGAGTTACAAAATTGTACTCAAATTTTAAGTTACACCCACTTATGAAAATGTCCGGGTGTATTAGTATAAAGAAAATGGTTGTAACGGCTCTTCCATAGCAATTAATTGATCAAAATTAATTTTGAGAATTATTTTCTTAATTCATATTTTTTTTCATGAATTAAATTATGATTTATTTTTGTTTTGTATTTTTTTTTATATCTTTATGTATTCGTGCAAATGCATTACTAGTTATTTGGTAAGGTTAGATTGAGAATAAATATATTTTTTTTGGCATAATTTTCATTCCTAGGACAAACGGAACACTAGCCGGCGAGTAGAGCACTCAAGTCAGAACATGCAAGAATAAAACTCCATGAAAGACTCCCGACAAAATCTTGTAATCGAGCAAGAGATTCTTGATTCTGTTCTTCAATCACGTGCTTCAATTTTCTAGAATCAACGAATAACAGCAGGAAGAAGAAGAAGTGGAAGACCGTATTGAAGAAGATGAATGTGACAAAGCTCATGTTGCCAAACGTGGACGATTTTGCCCTAAACACTTTCTTCCGCTGTTGATGCCATTTTCACAACTTTTTTGACTCTACAAATAAAAAAAATGTAAGGTTTACAATTTTTTATTGTCTTCCTTTTTCCGCTTGTTTGAAGTTTCCAACTGGGAGGATATACTTAAATTTTTCAAGTTTGTGTCAAGGTAAAGGATTCAATGCTGGACTCTGAACAATATAAAAAGTCAAGAACAGAGCTGTGACTTAAATCAATTGGTGCTACAACTGCTGATTTTGTCGAGGAGAAGACATTATACGATTTATTAATTTTGATTTGGGGTAAGTCTTGTCTTCAGCCATTTGTTTGTCATGGTTTTCTGTTTTAAGTGAATTTTAAATGCAATAATGTGTATCATTGTTATCAGTTTTGTCACTCTAGGCCACTTACCAGTGGAAGGGAAAAGATATGAAACTCTAGACAATATGCAAGACTCTATTAATATCATGTGACTTAATAGCAAACATAAATGTAGCAGAATAATAGTTTTTTATCCTCTGTATTTTTTATCATAAGTTTTTCGTTCACTGAGTGGTTAAGAAGATAAAAATACATAACCTCATGAAATACATAGCTTATATGTTTGGCAAAGAACGAGGCGAATTCAAATGGTTCTGTATAGCTAGGAAAGTAAGTTTTCTGAATAAGTAGTACTTACAAACCTGCACATACCATGTCTATTAATTCTCAGACCATCCATCCAAAACACCATAAAATCACTACCTCTGTCAGCTGTTCAATCTGTCTACAGTACGTTCAGTCAGAATAAACACTTACAAACCTTCACATACCATGTTATTTAATTTTTACTTGATCCATCGAACAGACCACAAAACTGTCACATATTCAATTTTGTCTATGTTCTAGCGCAAGCTTCGGTAGATCGTTGCTAGTCTAATAATAATACTACATTTACATAACCAATATGAATATACATATTTTACCAAATATTAATAATAATAATAATAATTAGACTATGATCTGATATTTCAAATATAAAATCGATGCTCGAACTCAGAGCCACTGCTAACACGACTACTCGATCTTATTCCACAAGCCAAATTCACATAAAAACTTAAACAATCTCTTGCACGAGTAGTCTCCTCGCCCGATTTATATTCAGAAAGCACAAACACACGTGCCTCTTCAATTCCTCGACCTCTTCCATAAACCAAGCCTCGTCAGCCTGCAGCTCCCTCACCACTTCCTTCACCATCTCATCCCTCCCCTTCTCCACACACGTCCCCACCATAACTTTCCTGCGCTCCACCTCATCATGCAAAACCCCGACAAGCCTGCACAATGTGTCGAGATCGTTCATGAGCGTGTACACCCCTCTTGCCGCCACGTCCAGCTGGCGGCGCGCTTTTCCTTTCCTCAACTTCCGCCTTTTCATTGCCAGGAGGCCCAGACAGCACGCGAGCAGCCCCGTGGCAGCTACCACGCACCCCACGCCGTTTGTCGCGAGGACCAATAGGGACACAGCTAGCGCAGTGGACCCCACACAGCTGGCAGCCTTTATTAGCGTCCTTCTTCTTTTCTTCCTTTTGTATTTGGATGTGAGCTGGCGGAGTAGGAGAGTGTAGCTCTCGTGGAGCTCGAGGAATTTATCCGGTGTGGATTGGAACGGGTTTTTACGGCGGGCGAACGAGGCTAAGTTCTTGTGGAGAATGTTATAGTGGTGGTGGGTCCACCGTTTTGGGTCGGGAGTTTGTTCGATTAGGTTGGTTATGTTGTTTATGGGGTGGTGGTTTGTGCTTATTGCTTGGTGCGCGTTTTGGAGGACGAGTTCGCATACTCTGCTGGCTTCCTGGCTTTTGTTTAAGTAGTTGATGAGGAATTCATGGTGGTTTCGAGTGGCTTTGAGTATGGAAGTTAAGGTTTCTTGAGGTGGGTCTAGTAAATACTCGGAGAGATTTTCGTTGTGGTGATGTTTGTGAGATGTTCTTGTTTCGAGTTGGTCTTCGACTTTGTTGCACAGTTCCGTGTATGATTTTGTCCTGAATGCTTCGTTGTATTCTTCGCTCACGTTTGGATTTCCCTTTTGGCTTTTTACATCCTCACTGGGATAGCCTGGATTTAAGAAAAATAAAGAAATGGTTAGATATTCAAGGTTATGTTCAGAAATTGTATGTGTCAAATCACATTAACATTAAATATAACTACAATTCTACCTAGAACATTGAATAAGTAATTTTATTGTGGCATAGAACAGGAAAATTAGAAGGAATGAGGGGTTATTTATGCTATGGCTGAAAGGAAAGATGAATTGTAGCTATGTATATCTGATATCAAGATAAAGGAAGATAAGCACTGATAGATTGGAAACACACCTTTCCTCCTGGAGGACAATCTTAGTTTGGACCATAACATTTTACTTATCTTGGACATTGAATGGATTACTGTGTACTTGACTGAAAACGAGAACGTAGATGGACACGTCTCGCGGCTTGATGGAGAAGAGAAATACGAATAATGCTAAACAAGAAAATAGCTGGCATCTATAGATTAGCTCCGTTTATATAGGGAATAAAGCCCTGGCTTTGAGTTCTATCTTTATAGTGCGGATGACAACTTTGCTTATACGTTAAACTTCTGTGTGTGAAACCTCAGCAAAAAGTAGTGAGGAAATTTTTTTTCTGCATGAGAGGTGTAATTAATACATCCAGATAAGGTCTTAGGCCTTTCATTAAAAAGGCATTTTCGAATCCTGACCTTATCCATCAGTTTTCAACTTTCAACTATGTTTTTTACGTTTTAGTTTTTTGTTTCTGGTTTTTCGATAGTGTTGATGTTGAGTTGTCTTGGTGTCGATCCTTCTGTTTACTCTTCATGTTCTACAAAATAATCCAGTTTCTAGATTGTCAACGGAGTAAAGTAAATGCAGCGTATTTGGATGGATCTTATTACATGGTCACTTGACATGATTTGAAGAATTAATGGATTTTAATGTGGAATATAGAAAAATTAAATGAAAGGCTTAATTTGAATTGTTATAGCAAACGAAAAACGTGCACAGATAAAAAGCAACAGTTTTGGAGTTAATGCTTCACGGCCTTTTGCAGATCATATCAATTCATCATAAATTCAAAAGACTGGAGTTGCTTTTCTTTCTAGAACTCTCTGTAAATTTTCTTTCTCAAATTACATCAACATTCACATTATATTTATGCCAATGCTTTGTTTGATTATATATATATATATATGAACATTGATTGGAAATTTAAGCACAAACAGTGAGCCTGATGCTGCTACTACAAAGAGGGTCATAACTAACTATAGTTTTCGTGACAAACGAACAGTGAACGATTGTCGCTACAAATGGTCCGTGTAAGTTGCCACTTTCATTCAAAATTTTGATGACTTAATTTTAAAATTTTTGTTTAGTACACGACATGTAGTTACCAAAAGATCTCATCTTATGCCACGATCTTCATCAGGACAACTAATAGCACCAACTCTGTGCCTCTAATAACTTTACCAAAAACACTGGCTTTTGTTGGCAGCCACATTTTTCAATTATTTGCATTGACATTGCATCACAAGTTTTTTCAGTTGGATGCTGGAATTTGTTTTTTCCTTTTCTTTTACAGGTTAAAATTTAGTTGATAAGGTGTTGAATACAATTGCTAGATTATTCAGTTTGATATCTTCATATGAATGCATAAGACATTTGGCCATATGTGTGTGTATGTGTACATATATTTATGTGCGTGCTGTTATTCATATAAAATTGAAGTAATATCACAGTCATGCTATAAATGTAGCATAGTTTCTCGCCGTTGCAAATAGAAAGTACAGTCCCAAATACTAGAATCTCTGTCCATGGTTGCAAAAGAAATTAAAGAAGATGACATGGAAATAACACAAGCAGTAGAAACACTTTCAGTGCTTTGATGATTCACCAGAAATGTCAATGACGAACCGGTATTTAACGTCGTTTTTGACTAATCGATCGAGGGCTTCATTAATGTAATCTGTCTTAACAAGTTCGATGTCACATGTTATGTTGTGCTTCCCGCATAAGTCCATCATGTCTTGTGTCTCCTTAATGCTTCCGATTATGCTCCCTTTCACAACTCTTTTCCCTGTTTTGTTTTCGTATGAAAGTTCCATTAGTAATCAATGATATATTTGATCTCGAACAAATTTCATGAAATTGTGTGGAAATTTACTTTTTGAAGAACAATGTCACCAATGTAAATAACTTCTGAATGAATACATTATGACTTCATCTTTAAAAGTGCAACTATTTTTACATGAAAACTATTTGGTTATAAAATATTTCGATTTTGTTTGAATTTTTTGGTTTGGCATGGTTAATTTTGAGAAAAAGTGGTATGGTTAGTAGTTAGCGGGATTTTGAGTTTATATTAAAATAATATTTAAAATAAAATAATTAAATTTGATAAGATCTAAAAGTAGGATAGAGAGGATGTGAAGTGATGATTAGTTAAAATATGTGAGTAGATGAATAGTGAATTAAGGTTGATGTAATATATAAGAATGATTAATTGGTATTATTTAATTATATTGATAATATTGGGGATAGTGTGTTTGAGTTAAAATTGGGTTAGATTTGAGTTGAAAGGAGTGATTGGTTAAAAATGATTGGAATTTTTTGGATAAATTTGTATCCAAGCATCCCCTTAGTGTCTCATGTAAATCTTAGTTGAACTTTGTCTTACAGTGAACAGAATGAGGCTTACCAAAAATCAAGGGAAAAGATGGCAGGTCCATAGGCTTATCTGGTGCACCCACAATCACCAGAGTCCCACTCACTTTCAACAACTCCAGTGTAGGTCCAAGGGAGTGTTTGGCTGACACCGTGTCCAAAATAAAGTCTAGAGTCCTCCTCTTTGACTGCAATAATATGTAAGAGTCATTTCAGTCTAATTCTAGCTTACAAAAAGTTGATTTCT